TATTCTAACTATGTTACCATCATTACAGTGGTTTGTAAGTAATCAAGTCTGGACCAGCAATCAAGTGATTGACGTCATGAGCTTCGATCCAAGCAGTTGGGATATAATGACATGCATCAACCATGTCATCAACCCCACCTGTGAAGACCCAGGATAGAATAGGTCTTCAGCAACCGATGTTTGCAGAAATAGGTGATTATGCTTGTCATAAGAGGCGACAAGCGGGATCGGGTGGTCAGGCTTGCTGACTTAGTTGATATATATCATTGTATACCAATTGTGTGGATTGATGCTCATGATGTCAGTCACAAGTTTGTCTGGTCCGGACTCAATTATTTACAGACTGCCGTTGCATAGCTGGAATATTGCTGAGTGTGGCGTTAAACATTAACAAACATACCTGACCACCCGATCCATTCAGCCTGATTAGTTTCTGATTTTAATTTGGCAGAATAATTCGATAACTGTGATTGTTTGTGGCTGTACCTTCAAAGGGGGTTGAAGTATCGTAAAATAATTGTCCCCCTGAGAGGGTGCGTAAGTCCCCCTTTCTTCAAAGTATGTTTCATTTTCTTGGATTTTAATCGTAGAATGCTTGTTGTTTTTTAAATACTTTGGCTTCAAATGTCTAACAATCACCAGTAGCCAGAGGGATGGTGTAAATCCTGTTTGGGTACCATGCAGGAAGCAGATGTACCGTAAGTCCCCATGGTCCCTAGTATGGTGTCCTAACTTTGGTTGCTGGTGATCTCTAGCCCATTTTTACAATGTATTGTTCAGAATTTTCATTTTCACATTTTCATGGTGACAATTGCTAGTTCTAAATCTATATCTGTGATAGTCTAGTGCTTTTACTGTCCTTTGTCGACAGATTTTAATATCTATATGAATGTATTATTACTGTATTACTTGATTTAGTCACTATATGGCTGAAATATTGCTGATGTGACTTTAAATCTCAACTCACTCACTCACTGTTTAGTTTCTTCTTACGACAAGCTTAGGTTGCTCAAGGTATCTATATTATTACCTACTGGTGTACTGGGTTTAAATATCCAATGCAGATATCCGTAGACTGGTTTTAATCGAAAGGTATGTATTACTCATTGTGAACACAGAGCGCAGTGTTGATATGAGGGTTATGGCAGTGTTTAGACAGTGTCTCATTTACTGTGTTGTACACTGTTAAACAAACTCTGGGGATGTTAGGCTCCTTGCATTCCTGATGGTATTACTCATAGACATTCAGCAATTATGTGAAACATTTCACAAACACTGTGACATAATGAGCCAGTTATGGAAGGAATATCAACAGCTGTTGCCTACACTGGGAGACCTGGCATTGAACACTGTTATGTGTAAAAGCAGAGTATCCTGGGACTCGCTCAATCGAGCCATGCCTTTTTGTTTTGTAGTTTGCACTGGCTTGGAAACAAATTCTTTTGGTTAATCAGTGCAGAAAGGTACAATGAAATGACTCCCCTATCCGTTCTATACGTGGTCTGACCCTCCAAGTTAGTTCATGTTTTTGACTTTTCTTATGAAGTTTGAAGGGATGATGTAAATCCTGCTAGGGTCCATGCAGGTAGCAAAGGTACTGTAAGTCCTCATGGTCCCTAGTATGGTGATCTACCTTCAGTTGCTGGCGATCTGGCTATTGATTTTATATTATATACTAGATTTAAATAAATTTCTGTGATAAATCTAGTTATTTTACTGTCCCTTGTTGGCAGGTTTTTATGTAAGTCCCTATGTATTTATATGTTTAACCCTTAATAGTCATGATATGGCTGAAATATTGCCGATGTGACTCTAAATTCTAACTCACTCTAACTCACTCACTCTAACTCACTCACTCATTGATTTTTTTTATCTTCAGTGAGAGATGTTTGTTTGTATGTTGTTTAACGTCGCACTCAGCAATATTCCAGCTATATGACCGCGGTCTGTAAGTAATCGAGTCTGGACCGGACAATCCAGTGATTGACATCATGAGCATCAATCCATGCAATTGAGATATGATCACATGCATCAACCAAGTCAGCAAGCCTGACCACCCGATCAAGTTAGTCGCCCCTTTGGCAAGCATGGGTAGCTCAGTGAGTTGTTCAGTGAGAGAACACAAGGCGGCACCATACATACCTGTTAGCATATGGATATTTTCCTAAACGAGGCCCTGATTACAGATGATAAGGAAAATAGTTTGTTTGAAATTTGTAAGTTGGAGATACATGTATCTTATGTATCTGAATGTAGTGATTGTATAGCTCTTTTGACCATGGTGACAGAGCTAAATGCTTGCATTTCATGGCTAATGTGACTTAACTATGGGATAGAGGTTCAGGATATGTGAGTGAGTGAGTGAGTTTAGTTTAACGCCGCTTTTAACAGTATTCCAGTCATATCACGGCGTGTCAGCTTAATGTGGGAGGAAAGCCAGAAGTGATGCAGGTCTCAGACGTTTACCACTTCGGTGAAACCCACGAGCACGGGTATGGTGCTGACAAACCTAGAAACATAATTGGGGCGAACCGGGATTCGAACCCACAATCATAGGTTTCTGGCGTGCCTAAGGGACGCAACTCTGCACAGCGAATCGCGGCGCCTTAGACGACTGGGCCACCCGTGCCCCCAGTTCAGGATATGTGTCAGAGCTACTGATTAATTAGGAAATATTCATCATGATGAAATGACTGCCTCCGTGAGAGCAGATGGTTGTTGCCTTTATTGTGTCATACCCGAAGATGTTAATATATGGTACTACTTATTACGCTGTTTGGCGCTCGGCATTTATGAAGGGGATAAAATCAGCTGGTCAGCTTGGAGTCTAATGTTTCTGAGTGGGATATTCATGTTAATATTTAACTGTGGCATGGTATCTCAGTAGGCTAGCACTATAAAACTTGCATGAATCTGCACCAGTACATTTGTAGCACAAACACATATTTGCTATGTAAGTGCAGTAAGCTTGAATGCTACATTCAACCAAGTTTCACCTCACCTCAAGGAGCTCTGTTGTGTCATTGGTGAGGCAGACATGACATGACATGAAATATTGTTCAAACCAGTGTTATACCAAACATGCCAAACTTCTTATGTATCAGGATAATCTTAACTGTATCAGGATGATCTTAACTGTATCAGGAATTAAGTATATCAGGGTGATCTTAACTGTATCAGTATGATCTTAACTGTATCAGGATGATCTTAACTGTATCAGGATAATCTTTACTGTATCAGGATGATCTTGCCTGTATCAGGATAATCTTTACTGTATCAGGATGATCTTGCCTGTATCAGGATGATCTTAACTGTATCAGGAATTAAGTATATCAGGGTGATCTTAACTGTATCAGTATGATCTTAACTGTATCAGGATGATCTTAACTGTATCAGGATGATCTTGCCTGTATCAGGATGATCTTAACTGTATCAGGAATTAAGTATATCAGGATGATCTTAAGTGTATCAGGATGATCTTAACTGTATCGGTATAATCTTAACTGTATCAGGATAATCTTAACTGTATCAGTATGATCTTAACTGTATCAGGATGATCTTAACTGTATCAGGATAATCTTTTCTGTATCAGGATGATCTTGCCTGTATCAGGATAATCTTTACTGTATCAGGATGATCTTGCCTGTATCAGGATGATCTTAACTGTATCAGGAATGAGGTATATAAGGATGATCTTACCTGTATCAGTATGATCTTATTTGTATCAGGATGATGTTAACTGTATCAGGGTAATCTTAACTGTATCAGGGTAATCTAAACTGTATCAGGATAATCTTAACTGTATCAGGATGATCTTAACTGTATCAGGATAATCTTTACTGTATCAGGATGATCTTGCCTGTATCAGGATAATCTTTACTGTATCAGGATGATCTTGCTTGTATCAGGATGATCTTAACTGTATCAGGAATTAAGTATATCAGGATGATCTTACCTGTATCAGTATGATCTTATTTGTATCAGGATGATGTTAACTGTATCAGGGTAATCTTAACTGTATCAGGGTAATCTAAACTGTATCAGGATAATCTTAACTGTATCAGGATGATCGTCACTGTATCAGGATAATCTTAACTGTATCAGAATGATCTTAAATGTATCAGGATGATCTTAACTGTATCAGGAATTAAGTATATCAGGATGATCTTAACTGTATCAGTGTGATCCTAACTGTATCACGATGATCTTAACTGTATCAGGATAATCTTAACTGTATCAGGATAATCTTAACTGTATCAGGATAATCTTAATTGTATCAGGATAATCTTAACTGTATCAGGATGATCTTAACTGTATCAGGATGATCTTAACTGTATCAGGATAATCTTAACTGTATCAGGATAATCTTAACTGTATCAGGATAATCTTAACTGTATCAGGAATTAAGTATATCAGGATGATCTTACCTGTATCAGTATGATTTTATTTGTATCAGGATGATGTTAACTGTATCAGGATAATCTTAACTGTATCAGGATGATCGTAACTGTATCAGGATGATCTTAACTGTATCAGGATAATCTTAACTGTATCAGGATGATCTTATGTGTATCAGGATAATCTTAACTGTATCAGGATAATCTTAACTGTATCAGGATAATCTTAACTGTATCAGGATAATCTTAATTGTATCATGATAATCTTAACTGTATCAGGATGATCTTAACTGTATCAGGATAATCTTAACTGTATCAGGATAATCTTAACTGTTTCAGGATGATCTTAACTGTATCAGGATAATCTTGACTGTAGTTCGACCCGTGAAGATTCGGGGATTCAGCAACCCATGCTTCCTGTAAAAGGCGACTATGCTTGGCTACTAACCTGATCAGGCCTGTGGGCCATGACGACTCACCAAAACAATAGATGTAATGCATCTTTGTGGTGTCAGGTGCAGATAATCACCTGCTTGTGCCCATCTGCTAATAAGCTGATCTAGTGTTGCCATCAACTGATTGAAGCCTCTTGTTCCCTGACAGTTGATAGCTGTGATCTTCACGGGGATCGCGTTACTGCTGCTCATCATTGGTGTGGCTGCAGCTGATTGGGTGGATGTCAAGTTCGTGTCTGTTAAGGATGGCTGGCGGTCCTGGGGCCTGTGGGAGGAGTGCTATGATGTTACCTCATCCCTAACGGCTTGTGTCAAGAAAGGTGAGATATTTGTTATGTTTATGCCTTCAATATTGTCTACAAAGTCAAGCTGGGAATGATGTACAATGCTCCTTTACTCTTTGGACGAGGATTGTTCCTGTGAAGAGCCGGGTTAGTACTTCGGCAACACGTGCTTATCGTAAGAGGACTCGTGAAGATCCGGGGAAAGAATAGGTCTTCAGCGAAGTGACTATGCTTGTCGTAAGAGGTGACTAACAGGATCGGGTGGTCAGGCTCGCTGACTTGGTTGATGCATGTCATCTTATCCTGACTGCGTAGATCAATGCTCATGATGTTAATCACTGGATTTTTGGTGAGATCAAATTTACTTCTAATGATATTTTCCTTGTAGTCAAAGGACATAAAACAACTTTATATAAGGCAAAATTAAAATGAAATGTGAGTGAGTGGGTTTGGGTTTACGCCGCTTTTAGCAATATTCCAGAAATATCACAGCTTCACACATTGTACCCATGTCGGGATGGGAACCCAGGTCTTTGGCGTGACGAGCGAATGATTTGACCACTAGACTACACGACCGCCCCAAATGAAATATGAAAACGATTTTGAATGACTAAACAGTATCACCTGATGAAAACTCTGATTTCTGCTTCAGATTGGATGTCGGCCTGTGCAGCCTTGACTCTTCTGTCCGTGTTTGGAGCAGTTGGAGCGTTAGGCCTGGGCATTTTTGGTCTGTGTACACACAAAAGAGTGCTGTACATCATTGCTGGAGTGTTGACAGCTGTTGGAGGTAATGAGAGTCATCAGTAACCCATACTTGTCCCCCTTGAATTTCTAGGTTAGAATTGGTCTTCAGTAACCCATACTTGCTCCCCTTGAATATCTGGGTTAGAATTGGTCTTCAGTAACCCATACTTGCCTCCCTTGAAGATCTGGGTTAGAATTGGTCTTCAGTAACCTCCCATACTTGCCCTTGTTGAAGATATGGGTTAGAATTGGTCTTCCGTAACCCATACTTGTCCCCCTTGAAGATCAGGGTAAGAATTGGCCTTCAGTAATCCATACTTGTCCCCTTTGATGATACAGGTTGGAAATTGGTCTTCAGTAACCCATACTTGTCCCCCTTGAAGATCAGGGTTAGAATTGGTCTTCAGTAACCCATACTTGCCCCCGTTGAAGATCTGGGTTAGAATAGGTCTTCAGCAACCCATGCTTGTCCCCCATGAAGATCTGGGTTAGAATTGGTCTTCAGTAACACATACTTCTCCCTTTGAAGATCAGGGTTAGAATTGGTCTTCAGTAACACATACTTGTCCCCTTGAAGATCTCTGTTAGAATTGGTCTTCAGTAACACATACTTGACCCCATTGAAGATCAGGGTTAGAATTGGTCTTCAGTAACCCATACTTGTCCCCCTTGAAGATCTGGGTTAGAATTGGTCTTCAGTAACACATACTTCTCCCCCTTGAAGATCTGGGTTAGAATTGGTCTTCAGTAACACATACTTGACCCCATTGAAGATCTCGGTTAGAATTGGTCTTCAGTAACCCATACTTCTCCCCCTTGAAGATCTGGGTTAGAATTGGTCTTCAGTAACACATACTTGTCCCCTTGAAGATCTGGGTTAGAATTGGTCTTCAGTAACACATACTCGTCCCCTTGAAGATCTGGGTTAGAATTGGTCTTCAGTAACACATACTTGTCCCCTTGAAGATCTGGGTTAGAATTGGTCTTCAGTAACTCATACTTGTCCCCCTTGAAGATCTGGGTTAGAATTGGTCTTCAGTAACACATACTCGTCCCCTTGAAGATCTGGGTTAGAATTGGTCTTCAGTAACCCATACTTGTCCCCCTTGAAGATCTGGGTTAGAATTGGTCTTCAGTAACACATACTTGACCCCATTGAAGATCTCGGTTAGAATTGGTCTTCAGTAACCCATACTTCTCCCCCTTGAAGATCTGGGTTAGAATTGGTCTTCAGTAACACATACTTGTCCCCTTGAAGATCTGGGTTAGAATTGGTCTTCAGTAACACATACTCGTCCCCTTGAAGATCTGGGTTAGAATTGGTCTTCAGTAACACATACTTGTCCCCTTGAAGATCTGGGTTAGAATTGGTCTTCAGTAACTCATACTTGTCCCCCTTGAAGATCTGGGTTAGAATTGGTCTTCAGTAACACATACTCGTCCCCTTGAAGATCTGGGTTAGAATTGGTCTTCAGTAACCCATACTTGTCCCCCTTGAAGATCTGGGTTAGAATTGGTCTTCAGTAACACATACTTGTCCCCTTGAAGATCTGGGTAAGAATTGGTCTTCAGTAACACATACTCGTCCCCTTGAAGATCTGGGTTAGAATTGGTCTTCAGTAACCCATACTTGTCCCCCTTGAAGATCTGGGTTAGAATTGGTCTTCAGTAACCCATACTTGTCCCCTTGAAGATCTGGGTTAGAATTGGTCTTCAGTAACACATACTCGTCCCCTTGAAGATCTGGGTTAGAATTGGTCTTCAGTAACACATACTCGTCCCCTTGAAGATCTGGGTTAGAATTGGTCTTCAGTAACCCATACTTGTCCCCCTTGAAGATCTGGGTTAGAATTGGTCTTCAGTAACCCATACTTGTCCCCTTGAAGATCTGGGTAAGAATTGGTCTTCAGTAACCCATACTTGTCCCCCTTGAAGATCTGGGTTAGAATTGGTCTTCAGTAACCCCCCATACTTGCCCTCGTTGAAGATCTGGGTTAGAATTGGTCTTCCGTAACCCATACTTGTCCCCCTTGAAGATCAGGGTTAGAATTGGTCTTCCGTAACCCATACTTGTCCCCCTTGAAGATCAGGGTTAGAATTGGTCTTCAGTAACACATACTCGTCCCCTTGAAGATCTGGGTTAGAATTGGTCTTCCGTAACCCATACTTGCCCCCCTTGAAGATCAGGGTTAGAATTGGTCTTCCGTAACCCATACTTGTCCCCCTTGAAGATCTGGGTTAGAATTGGTCTTCAGTAACACATACTTGTCCCCCTTGAAGATCTGGGTTAGAATTGGTCTTCAGTAACACATACTCGTCCCCTTGAAGATCTGGGTTAGAATTGGTCTTCAGTAACACATACTCGTCCCCTTGAAGATCTGGGTTAGAATTGGTCTTCAGTAACACATACTCGTCCCCTTGAAGATCTGGGTTAGAATTGGTCTTCAGTAACACATACTCGTCCCCTTGAAGATCTGGGTTAGAATTGGTCTTCAGTAACACATACTCGTCCCCTTGAAGATCTGGGTTAGAATTGGTCTTCAGTAACACATACTTGTCCCCTTGAAGATCTGGGTTAGAATTGGTCTTCAGTAACACATACTCGTCCCCTTGAAGATCTGGGTTAGAATTGGTCTTCAGTAACACATACTCGTCCCCTTGAAGATCTGGGTTAGAATTGGTCTTCAGTAACATATACTTGTCCCCCTTGAAGATCTGGGTTAGAATTGGTCTTCAGTAACACATACTCGTCCCCTTGAAGATCTGGGTTAGAATTGGTCTTCAGTAACACATACTCGTCCCCTTGAAGATCTGGGTTAGAATTGGTCTTCATTTACTCATTATTGTCCTGATTGGGTTAGAAGTGATCTCCAGCAACCCATGCTTGTCTCAAAGGGCGATGAACGGGATTGGGTGGCCAGACTCGCTAACTTGGTTTATGCATGTCATCATATCCCAGTTACTTAGATCAATGCTCATGACGTCAATCACTGGATTGTTTGGCACAGACTGGATTATTTACAGACCACTCATATAGCTGGAATATTCTATAAACTTATATGACAGCAAATAGACAAGAAGTAGCAGTTTTCTGGTGAATTGTCTGCAAGTGTTTAAAGGACCAATTGCCAAGACTGGGTGTTGCTATGGTTACTGAACCATGATTTATGACCATTATGAGCATAGTATGGTACTGTGGTTATTTATATATATATAACCATGGTAACTGAATATCTGTATTCTTTTTTGGTGACTGTTCAAAGAATTATCATGATGATCCACTGAAATATTGAACAATAGTAATTGTGGAATGGAGTCAAGGAGCGTATGGTAATGTGCCATTGCTATGGTTACAGCTTTGTTCATCCTGATATCGGTGATCATCTTCCCGGTGAAGTTCTCTGAAGACATATCGGAAGCTCATCGTAGTGACCTGGAACGCTATGACATTGACTGGACATATGGCGTGACTCTTGGTGGGCTCTTCTTCCTCCTCGGGGCCTCCATCTTCTTCTTCATCAAGCAGGAGGACCAGGAAGTGAGCCGAGAGAAGACCTCCATGCCGGCCTACTACAACAACAGCTACTAGACACGGGCAGCAAGCCATCTCATTGATCCCCATCTCATTAACGGACACACATCTCATGAGCTGGAAGAGGCCTGTGACATGTGTAGAGTGGTGGGGCAATATAGACCATGTTCTTTCTCTTTATCATGTTTGGGAGGTGGGATAGCTGAGTGGTTCAAGTGTTTGATGTCACAAGGCCTGGGTTCGATTCTTCACATGGGTTACAATGTGAATCGGTTCCTGGTGACCTATGGCATCATGTTGCTGGAATACTGTAAATCTTGAAATTAACATGAGCGTGAATTAAATGCAAGACTTGTATGAGACACAGAATATGTTTTCAACTATGCCAACCTATAATCTTGCACTAGAGATGCTAACTGCCACATGCATCACTAATCTGTTACCGATTCCAGGTCTTATTCAACACAGGCACCAAGCTCACCCCAGTCTTTTTTTAAATTTGGATCACAAATTCTCTGACTCCCAAAATTTGAAATGTGAAAACTAATTAAAAATGAGAAACAGTGGTTATGTTATTCCACAAACCAGAAAAATAATCATTTTCTGTCTTAATCAATATAAATAAGTTATTTAAAATACTATGATTAAATCTTTTGAAACTTTATCTCAAAACCTTAAGCCACAATGAAATATGATGAATCCCTATGCCTTCCTTCCCCACTTTTTTCTATTTTTCTACCTTCTTAACATTTTGAGGAAATAAAATAATTGGTTTAAATAATTTTATTTTTAGCTACCTACCAACCTGAAATTGTTTGTAGAAATTTTGTAAGCAAAAAAAAAAAGAAAGAAAAAATGTCTGGCCCTACTGATTGCCTTATATAAATGCTGAATGTGAAACAATTAGAATGCAAGCCTCAAGCTTGCATTGCCTGTATTGTTAGAATCTCTGTCATTGTTGGCCATTTTCTTTGCTATTCGATGTAGTGGATATCGTTGTATACATAATCATTCACCTTTATGGACATGTTGTTGACCAACTTAATATGACTTATGTTCAGGCTTTGTTCTATAATGATTTCTTAGACTGATAGGATTTCTGTTTCAATTCAGAACGTAACAGGATATGAAAGCACAGGATTTTTACCATACCAAGTGCTTGTGGTCCATTGATTCACGTTGATCAAGCCTGTATTATCATCCTTCATCTTTTTTTTATGGATTTTTTATGACAAGGTAATGACACATACTTTGAAGACCTACACTGAACAAAAAGTGTTAGGGATAATGATTTTTGTTGTTGACATTTTGATGAAACTTTGTGTTCAGTCTCCACTACAAAAAATATCCCCAAATATGTTCCTGATCCCTTATTTTGTTGGTTCAGTGTATGTATATGTCCATCATAGTGCTATCTGTAGCTCTTGTTCTGTATATATTTGTATTTATGTTGCCATGGTTACAGGGGGATCCTGTACTTGGTGCTGCTAGGGGACAGCTGTTATGTTCTCCATGTAGGCAGATTGGGGACCACGGGATTGTAAGGATTGTGGAATTTGGTGTAGCAGCTGGAGCTGTTCTTAATGAATGATTGTCACAAACATTGACATATAAATGAATCATGCAAGGATTGTTTTAGACCTGGAGTTGAGGATTGCTTTTTAAATTGTGATGTAATTTAGGGTGGTAAATTGTGACTGGTCCAAGCCCTTATGTACATGAGGTGTATATTTGTTTTTTCTGTTGCTAAATTCAGGTGAAATGAGAAACCTATTGTTCTGGCCTTACCAAAAAATTATAATTATTTGTTGTAACTGACCAGATATTTTTTTAATCAGATGTTAAGTTTATTAAGTTTCAATTCCTTACACACGAGAATGAAAAGTCTGTCCCCGGTAATAACACTGATGATGTCCACACTAACACGTCCATTTTTACGTCCATGTGTATATATATGTCCATGTATATAGTCCACTCACAGAGCATGGTGCTGGTGCCTTCCTATTACCATGAGCTACAATATGCAAGTACAGCCATGTGATGAGGGGAACAAGAGTTATGTCCCCTGAATAGATGTTTGAAGTCAGTTGAAGGTAGTGTGAATATATGGCTGTTCTATTTGTTTGATCTGTAGATTTGATCTGTTGATCGTTTGATTAATTTGTTTGGAATTGGAATTACAAACTGTGTTCTGTTGTACATATAGCTGGTATAGGTTTGGTGGATGATTAACTTAAATGCAATAATGCCTATTTCTTGATATTCCCTTATTTTTGTGACAATCTCATTAAAATCATATCATTTATGCTGATACGATACTGACCTTCAGGCTTAAAAAAATAAGAGTTGGTTCTCAATCAATGACTTTTAAAATATATTGCGGGTGGGCGGTTGTTTTTTTGTTGCTTGTTCAAACTAGTATGTAAGCAAATAAACAGTTGTGTACCATCAACCTGGGAAAGGGCCTCCCTACATAAACAAGCATACAAACTCCTATTGCCACCATGACCATAACACAAGATCTGCATACACCAGTGCACATGTGAAGGAAAATAACTGCGTGCAGTAATGGATCGCATTGTTTTGAAGTATTTGGATTTTTATTTTTTTTTCAAAAATGGAATTAAAAATGAAACATGCGGCAGACTTTATGATGATGCGGGCGGTGCCTGAGAACCAAGACTATTAATTTTTTTAGCCTCCTTAAGATCTGAGGACACCTCTGCAGAAGGTCACATCAGGTGAACCCTAAGTAAACATTTGACAGCTGCATCTGTACCGTACCATCTGTAAGTGAAGGATGCATGGCTCTTTTGTCAATCAGATGGGCGGTGGGGTAGCCTAGCGGTTAAAGCATTTTCTCATTATGCGGAAAACCCAGGTTCGACTCCCCACATGGGTCCAATGTGTGAAGCCATTTCTGCTGTTCCCTGTTGTAATATTACTGGAATCCTGCTAAAAGCAGCGTAAAACCATACTCACTCACTCACTCACTTACTAGGCAATCAGATTTCTAAACTCACTCGTCAGTCAGATCTCTAGACTGATGTGGCTTCATTTCTTTACTCCACCGATTTGGAAATTTGTATTTTAACAACAGAAAACCCAATCAGGACACATGCTTTCCGTGACTCTCTCTCTTTGGTGTAGAGGCCATGGAACTCACCAACAGCAGAGTGTATAAAATATCCACAACAGTATAAGGTGGAGGCTTTGTTTGTGTATAGGGGCGGTCGGGTAGCCTAGTGGTTAAAGCGTTCGCTCGTCACGCCGAAGACCCGGGTTCGATTACCGACACAGGTACAATGTGAGAAGCCCATTTCTAGTGATATGATATTGCTGGAATATTGCTAAAAGCGGCGTAAAACCATACTCACTCACTTCATTGTGTATACTCACGAAAGGGTGTTTTGACTGTATCAAGATACAGAAATACGATATACTGGTGTGAATGCTACACACACTGATACTCAGAATTTAGAAACCTTGATGCTGATTGGCTGATCAGTAAGCTCACCTTCTATGTAGTGTCCTCAGATCTTCACTCCGAGAATTATCGTATCGGGAAAAAAGACCTCATTTTAATTAAATTGTTTTGTCATTGTTTCATACAGCTATGTTGTTCTATGTCTTTCTCTATCAAGTACATCAGTTTGCTGATGTTGATGGTTGTGAGTTTGAATCCCGATTTCCTGTTTCTGATCCTTGGTGTATGGACACCATAACCGTGGTGGTAGTCAACATGTTGAACCTCTATGATCTGAATTTCTTTAAAACGTTCTCCCTCATGAAGCTCACACGCCATGATATCAAATGGTGTTGAAAAACAGTGTTTAACCATATCATCACACAGCTGTCTTTTTATTGCCTAATAATATTAGATTTTCTGAATTGATGATTATGAAAATGATATGACTGCTTGACTAACCAGGGTAGTGTTATTTGTCACTGAAATTATTTTGATGAATTAACCATTTAGTGTCTTCGCACATTCCTGTAGAACTGCTGAACTGTTTAATATTTTCTGTTACTCGTGTCATGGTTTTAGTGGCCTTGAAGCCAGGGACAGGACCTGCCATTCTTTATGCTGAAGAGGGGGCTGAAATTTGGTTAAAAAAAATATACCAGAAAACAATGGACATAATATTTTGACCCAGACTTTGACGCTGTAATGATCTGTGCAGAGTAGCCTCCCTTAGGCATTCCAGGAACCTATGATTGTGGGTTTGAATCCTTGTTCACCCTGATTATGTTTCTTAAAGTGGTAAACATCGAAGAACTGCATCACTTCGGGCTTTCCTCTCACATTTAGCTGACGAGCCGTGATATGACACGAATACTGTTCTAAGCGGAGTTAAACTCACCCATTCACTCACTATGGTGGAGGTATATCAGCTTCTGTAGTGCTGGAAGGAAGGTAAAACACAACCCAGTTCTCACTCCACTGTAGCAAATGTAAATACTCATTGCAATGATTAGTTTTTTTAAGTGTATTGTAAGGAAATCTTGATGTTATATTTTTCTGCTAAGTTATACAATATGTGAATATTCCACTGCAGTGTCTTCATCTCATGTTTTGCATAATACTTACAACATACGATTGTCTTTTTCTAAATGATTTGCTTGTAATGTTGTGTTGGTTGATCTATATTTGGTGCTTGATATTTATTAGATAACATTTCTGATGACAGTCAACCCGGGAAATATAAGGCCAATATAGAGTGACAGACACTTTCATTATCATTGTGGTAATTCATTCAGAAACTTTCTGAAAGTTGAAGCAGCTGGAAAAGAAATAAATTAAACATAAAAAGGTTTATTTCTATAATGTCTCCCACTAGTAATTTAGACCCGCTTATACAATCTAATGTTGTACAACAATTCCATGGCTACATCACTATCAGTGATTCAAAAAGCCAGTGGGGCGGTTGGGTAGCCCAGTGGTTAAAGTATTCGCTCGTCACGCCGAAGACCCGGATTTGATTCCCGACATTGGTACAATGTGCGAAGCCCATTTCTGGTGTCCCCCGCTGTGATTTTCTGGAATCTTGCTAAAAGCGGCGTGACTGACCTTGTGTGGAAAAACTGGATAACTCTGTGAAACATAAAATAAATAAAGTATGGCCTATTTGGTTAATACTTATTCAGAGGGGCGCTGGGATAGCCTTGTGGTTAAAGCATTCATATTCAATATATTTTTACTCTCATGGGTCCATTTAGAAATTAATTCTACTCTTATGCTATACAACAGGATGTATAATAAGTATAATATCATGAACAATATAATAGATCAGCTTTATTTTTTCCCACCCGGAACTGTCCAATTAACTTGAGATTTAATTCTAAGCTGCTATTACTTGTGTAGACAACAAATGATGGAAAGTTCAGTTATCTTGTCATCTTTTTGCTGGTTAATTTCCAAGGTTGACTGTCTTTTTTTCCTCCTCTGTCTCAGTTGTTGATTTGTAGCAGGGATTGTCAGCAAATCTGTGTTCGTGTGTTCAATATTTTTACTTCTGATGTATTTATTAATGTTGATCGAAAACAAAACTCAGTTGATCATGAAAAACAACTACTGTATTTGACGTAGTAAGCACCCAGGGCGCTCTCAAAAATAGGGGGCTCTCGTAGAATAAAAAATTGGTGAAAAAAACACACAGAGTTGAACGATCGTCAATTTCGTGGTTTATGCTGACAGCGTGAAATGATACAAACGAAAAGTCTGTGCATATTATATACGACAGATATATTTTTGCCAATAAATAAGGGTGCATATTACACATGAGTGGGTATTATACTCGAATAAATAAGTCTTGTGTACATTGATCAATCGGAAGGGGTGCTAATTGGGATTGTTCACTAGCCAATATATGAACAAATATCACCGCTTATTAGAGCTGGGCGCTTACTATGTCAAATATGGTACTCATCATGCACCTAATCAGAAAACGTTGCACATGCATTGTGTATTTGGCTGTTTTATCACAGACCCATGCCTGTATTAGCATACAAGGTACCATAGTCACTGTATTAAGCACCCTGCTGCAAAACCTCCCCCTGACCAAATTCTAGATCAGTTGGTAAGTAATATTTGTAAGCATCCCTACAGGGACAGCCTTATTTTTGTGTTTTTTACAGAAAACAATAGCATGGAAGGGGCATATAATTGCATTGTAACTATTATCAATAACATTTAGGTTGAGTCGAAGTTTGAAATTAATTTGTTCATTACCATTCAACCTCTGAAAAGAATTTTAACTTGTGTTTGGTTTTGATTAGCAGACCCTTTGTCCATTTTTTTAAGAGCTCGGGCACTTATTACAGTGAATATGGTACCACCAATTAATAATGCTTGTTTTTTTCTCCTATTTGTTTCTGATACATGTTGTAACTTAAGGTGCCATCAGTGCACTGTCATGCGTTCACGTTTACTCATGTAAACGGCTTATGTGTGTCTATATTTTCTCATCACCAGGTAGATTGTCATGTGAATCTCATGCCAGAGCTAGCCTATAGAATTTACCATTTTTGTAGAAGCACATTCTGTTGCTCTGTGAGGCTCATGCAGGAAGGTCTTAAGATAATACATAGCTCACGAAGCATACATTCTGATATATCATGTGTGGATTTCCTTCATGATGTCCCCAAAGACATAGTTGCTTGATTGACCAAGAAACGAATCTTCATGATGAGCTGAATTGAATGATCTGACTGAAGACAATATTGACTAATGGACATCCATTATTTTGTTCTTTCAGTGCAGCATTTCAGTACCGGTGAAGAAGACTAACATTTAGTTCCCAAAGTAAAGTTATCTCGTTTTGAAAATATATATCTACTGAACAAAAAATTAAGATCCAGATGTTGCCCAGAACAATGCTTAATACCAGGCCTAGAGCATTGCCAAATCATTCTAGACTTGAGTTGGATTCATTTTGAATTTATTTTCTTGGGTCTGGGAGACAGACTACAGGTGAAATTCACATCAAACGTGTACCAAAATGTTGCATTGAAAGAAACAAGAAGTCCAACCTCACAAGTAAACTCTGTGTTCATAGATTGTTCGGCTTCTTTGGCACTTCAAGATGAGATTTACTGACTGCCAGAACCGAACAGATTACACGTGCATCCACATTATGTTACTCATGCTTGTTTTATGATTTTTTACATATTGCAAGGTATCTGAAATATGTTCCTAGATTATATATCTTCCTAGATCTCCGTATGTATCCTGTGGCTGATTGTGTACCTGTTGTATATGATGGCCAGCGTGATGGTCTAAACCATTCCATGGTATAATCACCATAGGTTAAACGTATTGAAGATTGAAATATGGCAAATGTGTTAATTTTGTGTGATTAATGTTTAACGATTATTTTATTCACATACATTAGCATATTTACTAATTACTTGATACAAATGGTTTTGGTGGATGTTTTCACTTTGTTTTGATCATGTCAATTAATTATCAATTAGTTGATTAATTATCTAGTTAAGGAGAATGGCAGTGTTAATCATGCTAATCTTGACCAGTTCCACAAAGCGATCTTAGTGCTACGATGACCGCAATTCTGTGTTAAAGTATGGGAGGTACGATCACATACGTAAGATCGCTTCATGTAATGGTCTGGAGGCACTCTTTCTCAACATGGAAGGTTGATTGTGTGTGTAAGAGCCTATTGCTTCAGGTTTAACAGTTCTGATACAATTTGGCAGCTGGAAAATCAGCTTGGTTTCATTAGGTTGTGACCGCTATGGATGAAATCCTTCTCAGCGCTCAGATGTTGTGTGATGTCCAGTAGGAACTTCATAGACTTGTAGACAATGGCTGAGGTCATGTTGTGCATGTTGTGGGTCTAGATCAAACTTTTAGGACTCATGGCTAGGCATTATTTTTGTTTAAATTATGAGTGAAATATGGTTCTAGAACAAATGTTTGTTAGGTGATATTTGTTTTTCATATGTATATTTTAGTATTTCCACAACAAGTCCTCTATTTGTTCTTCAAAAATGTTTTTAATTAATTAGTTTTGTTATGAAAATTACAATTTTGTTGTTTATTCAAAGATGAAAGGATTTTGCTATTTTCTCATAACACATGGTTTACACTCAGAGGGGTACACAAAGTATGGGATCTAGACCACCAGTCGTCAGACTTTCATTTTTGTGGAAGCCTCGGTGGATGAGTGGGTTAGATTGCTGACTTTGTGTGCTGGCGTTTAGGTGCCTCACTCTGAGAGTGTTGGTTTGAATACTGGATGGTTCTCAACCCCAAAAAGTACTAGAATCTGTACTTTACGAAGAAAGTATTATCACAAAAATAACATTTCTTACAGATGGTAATATATTACTATATGTTTGAATTTCTATAACAGATACTATTGATTTAGAGGAATATATTCTGTTGTCACTGATTACTTTCTGGCTGTCAATAATAATTTGTCCCAAAAACTTTGAAGATATTCGAAGAACAGTTATTTTATTTGTTGTGACCTTATTCAAATGTAATGGATAGGACAGCATGAAACTGTGGTTTTGTTGAAGACAGAGCATGAGAACCTGTTCGCTGATCGTCTAGGAACAAGGCCTGCCTTTAGGTTGCAATAGACCCTTTGAAGATGTGGTTGTGACTTGTGATTGTAAAACATATTTTTATATTTTGTTCATATACGCCTCATTGTGTTGGTTTGCTATTTATGGCTTATCTAGTACCTCAAGTTAATCTTCATCAATCAGGTCATGTCTTTATTATGGTACACTCTCCTGTTATACATTGTCTTACTGGATGTGATCAGCTGAAACATTTGAATTCATGATTATATATTTAGAAGCGTTACTCCTGAGAACAATTAATTTGATTGTTTACTCGATTACCCTATCCTAAATTCTGCACAAGTGAAATATAATAATTTTGAAGGCTATTGTACCATATTGTTAACAGTTTGGTTTTTATTTTTGTTATCTTTTATTTCAAGAGGAAATCAACGATGAAATTTCCAGCACCTGCATCTTGATATCTTCCATATCAGAACAAATGGGATTGAGCTGGTCGTAGCATTTTCTGAAACATTTTTTTATGTATATTTCTAAACGCCATATTGTATCTGTCAACAAAATGTTTTTAACGCTTTGCAAGAATCAGAAACCTGATAAAGATATTTCAAAGTTGAAAGAAAAAACATATTGTGATAATAATTTTGAAGAGACCTTCTTAGTTATATCTGCTAATGGGATGTGTTGATTGTTATACATGTACATGATAGTTAAAACTCTTTGAATTGACTCTGTAGGACTTTTGAAAATTTATGAAAGTAATGGCATCAAGACCAGCAAGAGGAATATTTATCTAACATTTTGGTGCACAGTGAGAAACTTTCTGTTCAGATTTGTTACCACATGGGTAGCTGCTGATGTCTTGTAAACTTCAGGCTGAGATGAATGTAGTTGCTATGTAGGCACCCACCTATCTAGGCTTCACTTGGCATTATTCTGTTAGCTTGTTTATCTATATAACAAATAAAGCAATACCTTTTTTATTAATTGCTCTGAGTTTTCTTCTTTATGGGCAGCAATACTCCAAATTCAGTCGTCTTGCCAGCACCGCTTTAATTAGTTTTTTTATTTTATTTTATTGCTTAGTCACCAGGTGGCAATCAGCATAGCACACAGGTCAAACCAGTCATGATTATAGTCCACAATAAGCAGATTTCGAATCTATGAAGAAAAAGCCACCCATATTTCAATACTTTAAGTTGGAGTGTTGTCTTTCCTTTCACGTGTATACTCCATTGGTGGTGTAGTGGATAGAGCTGGCTGGAGAGCGGAAGGCTGGTTGTTCGTTCCCCTGCCTTGTCAGATCTTAAAAGATGGTATTTGTTGTTACCCTGCCTGGGCCTCGGCATTGATGGTCTAGTACTATAAATTCGGTATTAGTCCAGACTACTACAAGCAGCCACACACACGTCGCTATATGAGTGCAATAATCCTGGACAAATTCTTGGCAATAATTTATGACCTCTGTCTTTACTAATTGGAAGCAACTTGTCTTGTTTGTTTCCACAGTTCTTTCATCCCACTTGGGGTATATCCGTGAAATGTGAGTCGATCTGGGTACCACAGTATATGCTCGAGTTTAACATGTCGAGTGGAGAAACCGCAGTCACCAACAAGAAGAGCCCCCACTCGCTGCGCGCAGATTCCATTGATGAAAATATCCTCCACGTGCACTAACGGAGAGTTTGGAATCACCTCCAGGAGGTCACGTGTCAGTAAACCGGAAATGACGTAGGCAGCACCGGCGACGTATGTTGGATAAAAGTCGTCGGGATAATCGTTTCTTGAGACGTAATATTTAGACATTGATCTCCTTTTTGGCTGGCTACGTCTGTTTATCTGACCCATGATAAACCTAGGCACAGACTCAAACATATCAAGTGTATTGAAGAGCTGTTCCAAATTTACGAAAACGTCATCATCGATCTTCAACAAGAAGCTGAAACTTGTACAAAACTCGGCCGTCCATTTTAACAACGCAACGCTCTTCCATACCAGGTTCTGGTACGTGTCGTCTGCGTTCACCTGGACTACGTCGCCATACTGCTTGTGCTCCGCCTCTAGCAGCACCTGTACGGACGGATGGCACAGACCAACCAGGAATATGAGACAGACGTTTCTGGCTGGCGTTCGACGGACAACTGACCCCCACGTGTGCCGGATGGCATGTCGTTGATGGAAGTTACTTGCACGAGATATGACCCCGATGACCATCCACACAGGTGCCCGAAGTCTACAGTGGTCGGAGTTGAGGATGAAGTTAGTGTTGTCACTGATGTTGTTCCTGGGGAAGGGGAATTTGGAGGACGGTGGCCTGGTACTTTGAATACAGCAGCATCGAGTCAGGTTTACAAACCTACAAGGGGACTTTATAATAGTAATGCACAAAATAATACTCCCAATTAGGAGCAAGATGGCGTAGCTGATGCAGGACCGTGGTAGTCGGAGGTGATGGTAGTTAAATCTGAACATCACTGTAGATACTTGGGCATTGTTTCAAGTTTTAGACAGACGCTGAAAGATATATTGACTGAACAGTGTACATTCCTTTATGTGGCGGTGGATTGGATATGAGATGAAGTGAAAATGCATCATAAATTCATATGAAACTCCGTGTATTCGGACTCCATGTTTGTACAACACTGCAGATGTCATGCGTCATGTCATGGGGACGTGGGACGACCATTCTCTGGATGTCCAGGTATTTCAGAAAAGATTCCGTCTGAGGTCCATGACAACGATTTCCATATATTAACAACTTTCACGATAATCCTTGAAAATGATACAAATGGTCCACCATTGGTGCGCCTTCATTTCACTTGGATAGGTGGATGGATCCCATAGAACCTGAAACACAATACATATACATTCATTTATACCTGTATATATCTGTCATAACGCCCTAGAGTGTCAATAGTTGCAATATTTTGTGATTATTAATAATATGATCGATTCTGTCAGTGTTGATTAGTTTACGTTTTCCCTTTAAAGTGGCGTTAAATTCAACTTACTCACCCACCCACTCACCCACTCGCTCGCTCACCCACCCACCCACTCACTCACTCACTCACTCACTCACTCACTCTTTATACCCATAACTGTGGGGCGACTGACGTTTCAGGCTGTGGCCATAGATATATTCAGGCTTGATGAAGGTCACATCACTAGCAGGGCAAAGGAACAAGTATGCAAGTCGCAATCTGTATTAAGTAATTCAGTATCGGCAAGAACTAAACCTAAATAAAGAGAAGCTTTATGTTAGTTCCCGACGCTCATGCCTTGACTGAAAGTTGACATATGATCGTGAAACCTCGCATCTCTTAAATGGAGACAAGAATGATTTTGCTATTAAGCTATATCTCAGGGCCGGCAAATTATATTGGGATAGGCCGTGGAAGCTTGTGACGACATGCACTGAAGCAATGAGACAAAGCGTCGTAAAATCCCCCTCGCTGTCCTCAAAGACACGTTCACGCCGCTCTGTTTACTCCACGTGATTGTACAGTTTGTTAAACGAGACATCTCCATATACTCGTCCAGACGATAATTACAGATATCTCCGTACTGACGTACACATACTCTTTTGTTTTGTTTGTTTATTTGTTGTTTAAGGCCGCACTCAGCAATATTCCAGCTGTATGACGGCGGTCTGTAAATAATCGAGTCTGGACCAAACAATCCAGTGATTTACATCATGAACATCGATCCACGCAATTGGGATCGATGACATGCATCAACCAAGTCAGCGAGCCTGACCACCCGATCCCGTTAGTCGCCTTTTACGACAAGCATAGTCACCTTTTACGGCAAGCATGGGTTGCTGAAGACCTATTCTACACCGGATCTTCACGGGTCCGTACACATAGTCAATACACACAGCTCTGTATATACTCCTACAGTCAGTACAGGCAGTTCCATATACTCGTATAGTCATAGTCTTACAGACCCTGATACAAATATATCAAGTAAAGCCCATGCAAGTCAATAATGTTTGGCAAGTCTAGATTACTGCAGTATCAGGAAAATGAAGAGAGTCTTTGGGCTCCTTTTTATTATATTTTTATTTAGATAATTTAACAACTGTTTTTTTCTGTACGATATGTTCATTTCAGAGACTAAATGTTAGTCTAGTATAGTCAGTACAAACACTTCCGTAAAATTCGTATAGTCAGTAAAGACACTTCCGTATACCCGTATAGTCAGTACAGACACTTCCGTATACTCTTATAGTCAGTACAGACACTACCGTATACTCGTAAAGTCAGTACAGACACTTCCGTATACTCGTTTAGTCAGTAAAGACACTTCCGTATACCCGTATAGTCAGTACAGACACTACCGTATATTCTTAGTCTGTACAGACACTTTCGTATACTCGTAAAGTCAGAACAGACACTACCGTATACTCGTATAGTCTGTACAGACACTTCCGTATATTCGTGTTGTCAGTAAAGACACTACCGTATACTCGTATAGTCAGTACAGATACTACTGTATACACTTCCGTATATTCGTGTTGTCAGTAAAGACACTACCGTATACTCGTATAGTCAGTACAGATACTACTGTATACTCGTATAGTCAGTACAGACACTACCGTATACTCGTATAGTCAGAACAGACACTACCGTATATTCGTATAGTCAGTACAGACACTCCCTTATACTCGTATAGTCAGTACAGATACTACCGTATACTCGTATAGTCAGAACAGACACTACCGTATATTCGTATAGTCAGTACAGACACTCCCTTATACTCGTAAAGTCAGAACAGACACTACCGTATACTCGTAAAGTCAGAACAGATACTACCGTATACTCGTAAAGTCAGGACAGACACTTCCGTATATTAGTATGGTCAGTACAGACACTCCCGTATATTCGTATAGTTAGTACAGACACTACCGTATACTCGTTTAGTCAGTAAAGACACTTCCGTATACCCGTATAGTCAGTACAGACACTCCCGTATATTCTTATAGTCTGTACAGACACATCCGTATACTCGTAAAGTCAGAACAGACACTACCGTATACTCGTATAGTCTGTACAGACACTTCCGTATATTCGTATTGTCAGTAAAGACACTACCGTATACTCGTATAGTCAGTACAGATACTACCGTATACTCGTAAAGTCAGTACAGACACTTCCGTGTATTCGTATAGTCAGTACAGACGCTCCCTTATACTCGTAAAGTCAGAACAGACACTACCGTATACTCGTATAGTCAGTACAGATACTACCGTATACTCGTAAAGTCAGAACAGACACTTCCGTATATTAGTATGGTCAGTACAGACACTCCCGTATATTCGTATTGTCAGTAAAGACACTACCGTATACTCGTATAGTCAGTACAGACACTACCGTATACTCGTATAGTCAATACAGACACTACCGTATACTCGTAAAGTCAGAACAGACACTTCCGTATATTCGTATTGTCAGTACAGACACTACCGTATACTCGTATAGTCAGTACAGATACTACCGTAAACTCGTAAAGTCAGAACGGACACTCCCGTATATTCGTATTGTCAGTACAGACACTCCCGTATATTCGTTTAGTCAGTACAGGCAGTTCTATATACTCGTACAGTCAGTACAGGAAGTTCCGTATACTCGTACAGTCAGTACAGGCAGATCCATATACTCGTAGTCAGTACAGGCAGTTCCGTATAGTCTGTACAGACAGTTCCATATACTCGTACAGTCAGTACAAATAGCTCCGTATACTCGCACAGTCAGGACAGGAAGTTCCGTATACTCGTACAGTCAGTACAGGCAGATCCATATACTCGTAGTCAGTACAGGCAGTTCCGTATAGTCAGTACAGACAGTTCCATATAATCGTACAGTCAGTACAGGTAGCTCCGTATACTCCTACAGGCAGTTCCGTATATTCGTACAGGCAGTTCCATATACTCGTACAGTCAGTACATATAGCTCCGTATAGTCAGTACAGGCAGTTCCATATACTCGAACAGTCAGTACAGGTAGTTCCGCATAGTCAGTACAGGCAGTTCCATATACTCGTACAGGCAGTTCCATATACTCGTACAGTCAGTACATATAGCTCCGTATAGTCAGTACAGGCAGTTCCGTATGGTAAGTACAGGCAGTTCCATACTCTCCTACAGTCAGTACAGGTAGTTCCGTATAGTCAGTACAGGCAGTTCCATATACTCGTACAGTCAGTACAGGTAGTTCCGTATAGTCAGTACAGGCAGTTCCATATACTCGTACAGTCAGTAACGGTAGTTCCGTATAGTCAGTACAGGCAGTTCCATATACTCGAACAGTCAGTACAGGTAGTTCCGTATAGTCAGTACAGGCAGTTCCATATACTCGAACAGTCAGTACAGGTAGTTCCGTATGGTAAGTACAGGCAGTTCCATATACTCGAACAGTCAGTACAGGAAGTTCCGTATAGTCAGTACAGGCAGTTCCATATACTCGAACAGTCAGTACAGGTAGTTCCGTATAGTCAGTACAGGCAGTTCCGAACATTCGTACAGTTAGTACAAGTAGCTCAGTATACTCGTACAGTCAGTACGGGCAGTTCCGTATAGTCAGTACAGGAGGCTCCGTATTCTCGTACAGTCAGTACGGGCAGTTCCGTATAGTCAGTACAGGAGGCTCCGTATTCTCGTACAGTCAGTACAGGAAGTTCCGTATAGTCAGTACAGGAGGCTCCGTATTCTCGTACAGTCAGTACAGGCAGTTCCGTATAGTCAGTACAGGAGGCTCCGTATTCTCGTACAGTCAGTACAGGCAGTTCCGTATAGTCAGTACAGGAGGCTCCGTATTCTCGTACAGTCAGTACAGGCAGTTCCGTATAGTCAGTACAGGCAGTTCCATATACTCGAACAGTCAGTACAGGTAGTTCCGTATAGTCAGTACAGGCAGTTCCATATACTCGAACAGTCAGTACAGGTAGTTCCGTATGGTAAGTACAGGCAGTTCCATATACTCGAACAGTCAGTACAGGAAGTTCCGTATAGTCAGTACAGGCAGTTCCATATACTCGAACAGTCAGTACAGGTAGTTCCGTATAGTCAGTACAGGCAGTTCCGAACATTCGTACAGTTAGTACAAGTAGCTCAGTATACTCGTACAGTCAGTACGGGCAGTTCCGTATAGTCAGTACAGGAGGCTCCGTATTCTCGTACAGTCAGTACGGGCAGTTCCGTATAGTCAGTACAGGAGGCTCCGTATTCTCGTACAGTCAGTACAGGAAGTTCCGTATAGTCAGTACAGGAGGCTCCGTATTCTCGTACAGTCAGTACAGGCAGTTCCGTATAGTCAGTACAGGAGGCTCCGTATTCTCGTACAGTCAGTACAGGCAGTTCCGTATAGTCAGTACAGGAGGCTCCGTATTCTCGTACAGTCAGTACAGGCAGCTCCGTATAGTCAGTACAGGAGGCTCCGTATTCTCGTACAGTCAGTACAGGCAGTTCCGTATAGTCAGTACAGGTAGCTCCGTATACTCGCAGAGTCAGTACAGGAGGCTCCGTATTCTCGTACAGTCAGTACAGGCAGTTCCGTACATTCAGTACACGACTCCGTACAGTTAGGTATATACGCATGTATACTCCTATACAGTCAGTGCATATAGCTCCGTATACTACATTTAGCTCCGTATACTACATTTAGCTCCGTATACTCGTACAGTCAGTACAGACACCTCCGGATACCCGTATAAAAAATATTAACATAAACAACTTTTCGTTGATCCAATCCGATCTTGGAAATATCGTCTACTTGGGAGTTGCACTTGCTGTAGAATCTCAGACGTTTTGTTTCAAATTCAACGGAGTCTGTAAATACCTTCAGATCCCGCCTGTATCCAAACACTCGGCGTGTACATAGCATACACATGAGGTGTGCTTGATAAACGTTTGTTGTCGCGGTCGTTGCGTTAGTCGCCTTTAGTCCCAACGGATGTGCTGTCCACGTTAGCAGAGTGCTACAATTTGAACACAGGAAGCTATAGTTCCTGTTGAAACTGAATATAACTTAGTTTTGGAAAGTTGATCGCGATGTAGGTCCTTTTCTTGTTGAAACCTTGTTGTACCGAACTGTTGCGTCACAAGTCAAGACACTCGAATCAACGAATTATTTCTATCAGGAGTGAGTGAGTGAGTGTGGTCTTACAGCGCTTTTAGCAATATTACAGCAATATCACGGCGGGAGACACCAGAAATGGGCTTCACACATTGTACCCATGTCGGGAATCGAACCCGGGTTTTCGGCGTGACGAGCGAACGCTTAACCACTAGGCTATCCGACCGCCCCCTTGATATCAGGAGCCTAATTTCCCCTAGCTTCGCTCTTGATATCAGGAGCATAGCTAGGGGAAATTATGATGTAGGTAATCATATTTCTGTACTTTTTTGTTTTCTTAAACACTCATGACGCCTATAAACCACAAACACAAACACAAGCAAACATGTGGAACATTTTTGAAACAGAGATATTACAAAATATCCTTACCACATTCTGTACATAACACATTTTAAGTATAATTATTGTGATCAAACCCAGATATCCTCATAAAATATATATATGGGGGCACGGGTGGCCCAGTCGTCTAAGGCGCCGCGATTCTCTGTGCAGAGTCGCGTCCCTTGGGCACACCAGAAACCTATGATTGTGGGTTCGAATCCCGGTTCTCCCCAATTATGTTTCTAGGTTTGTCAGCACCATACCCGTGCTCGTGGGTTTCACCGAAGTGGTAAACATCTGAGACCTGCACCACTTCGGGCTTTCCTCCCACATTAAGCTGACACGCCGTGATATAACTGGAATACTGTTAAAAGCGGCGTTAAACCCAACTCACTCACTCATAAAATATATATAGTCCATGTATGAGAATAACCACTCTAGATTATCCACTTAAACAGATTCCATTTGGCGTAAAAGGCAAAATAGGTGTGAAACTTATATGAATAGACCAATACAATCAGTGATAACATCAAAGGGTAAAGGAAAATAACAAGCAAATAACAACATCGAACCAACTTATCAACGACCACTTTGACACTGGTAGGCGGGTCACCCTTAAATTTAACAAAAGAACATGTAACTATAACAAGCGACTGAAAGAACACACTAAAGCACCTTCTTAAAAAAATATTTCATTTTATTTATTTCTCATACAGTAAACTACGGTTAAAACGAACACGCTTATAACGAACTGACGGATATAACGAACTTACTTTTTGGTCCCGACTATTTGCTGTAGTTATGCTGTATATATGATTATAACGAACTACGGTTATAACGAACTAAAGATAGGAGTCCCTTTGAGTTCGTTATAACCGTAGTTTACTGTATAACGATTTCAAAGCGTAGGCACTTGTATTTTGTGCTAGGTGGTAGCTACGCCACTGGATATTAATGTCCTTGGCATAATGTCGACGTTCCAGAAAGTCTTAGACTGAAGAGTAATGAGGGTTGATTGTAGTTGAGAAATATATACACTAATGACAAATAGAAAGTAATGTTCAAACTGAACAAGAAGACATTCATGTTGTAACTGTTAAGTGTTTCTTGAAATACTGGCTATAGTTTCCTTGTAACACAATTACATAAAAAAGTATATGCACTTTTTCACTCCTGCCATGTCGTTATTTATGAATAATAATTTATCTATTAAATAATTTTAAACAGAAAGGGAGAACAGCTCTTTTCCTTTTGGTTTATCAGCTCGACAAAGTGATATATTGTAAAATTACGGAGTTACGGTGTCCACGAAACATATCAGCCCTTCTTTTCTCCTTTGGCACATGTAACAAGTTACTTTACATGAAAAGGTTGTCTCAAATTGCAAAAGCAAATTTATCATCAAAAACTGGCTCCCACAGGAGATATCGCTTGGGTGAGATAGATATCGCTGCAATGAAATTGCATCACAATGCTTTGCAGACCATTGTGACGTCATTGGTTACCATGACGTCACAATCAAATTACATCACTAATGGCTCTGCTACTGAAGCTGTTAGTAGTTCTTTTTACACTTAAGACACTGCTTATAACTTTCTACAAATTGAAAAAGTTGGAAGAATGATGTTGGATGATAAATAAAATCTCACCCTCGTGTCTTTTGATATCAAATATATCAACACTTGTCGATAAAAGTGGAAAAAATCCTCGGCAAGCCTCGTATTTTTCCCACTTTTATCAACTTGTGTTGATATATTTGATATCAAAAGACACGAGGGTGAGATTCTCTATATATATACTCATAACTTAAATTATCAGCGAATAAATCTACATGCAGACACGATGTAACTTTAAATAATTATTTTGTTGTTGTTGTTGTGGTGTACACAAAGCCCTGTCTTCTCTAAACATGGTACACACCTTTTGTTCAAATTTCACAGTTTATGGATGAATGCATATCTAAGCTTGGCCCAAACAGCTTTAATGAGCCTTTCTATACCATTCATTTTGGGATGCCATTGTCACACGTTTGTGGCCAAGTTTTAAAATAGGGTAGAACTGCAAATATTGTACCATAGCTGTTCGAGTCAAAGGGAGATAACTGCATGACGGTTTACACGTATGCAACTATAAAACATCAACACCAGATAATAATCAGTCTCGAATATCTGCCCAAACAGTTTCCTTTGGACGTGAAAGGCTAATAGCGGTGACAAGTATATAAGTGGATCACTGACGGTCGGTTTTGTTTGTTTGTTGTTTAACGCCGCACTCAGCAATATTCCAGCTATTTGACGGCGGTCTGTAAATAATCTAGTCTGGACCTCACAATCCAGTGACAGTCAGTGATCACACCAGGTCACGTGTCTTGATGTACTGTGATTATAGAAAGCAAATATCGGTAGTTTTGTAAATTCCTGAAACACTCAGGAAAAACTCTTTCCCAAGGTTTCCCTTACTGAATTGTAAACTACGGTTATAACGAACTCTAAGGGACCACTAATTTTAGTTCGTTATAACCGTAGTTCGTTATAAGCATATATACATCATATATACAACAAATGGCCGGGACTAAAAAATAAGTTCGTTATATCGGTCAGTTCGTTATAAGCGTGTTCGTTATAACCGTAGTTTACTGTATTAATTCAGTGGAACTTCATTAACTCGAAGTCATTGGGAAAAACATATCGAGTTAACCGGAGTTCCAGACATACGTAGTGATTCGCCTGGAAATAGGAACTGAGTCGAAGAATTGCACTGTAACCGGCTCTCTCTGTAGTTGAATCAGTTTAAATGGAGGTCAAAATGTTCTTACTCTCTCTTTCTCCAGATAACTACGGACGTACAGTATACCGAACGTTTGTATGCCGGACTCAGCAATATTCCATCTATATGACGGCGGTCTGTAAATAACCAAGTCTGGACCAGTGATTGACGTCATGAGCATCGACGCAACTGGGACACGATGACATGTATCAACCATGTCAGGAGCTTGACCACCCGATCCCGTTAGTCGCCCCTCACGACAAGCATAGTCAGTCACCTTTTACGTAAAGCATGAGTTGCTGAAGACCTATTCTATCCCGGATCTACCCCGGTGATCAAGCTCGCTGACTTGGTTGATGCATGTCATCGTATCCCAGTTGCGTCGATCTATGCTCATGATATCGATCACTGGATTGTTTGGTCCAGACTGGATTATTTACAGACCGCCGTCATATAGCTGGAATATTGCTGAGTTCGGCGTTAGGAAACAAACAAACAAAGCAAAACGGAATGTTGAAATTCTAAAATGAGTGTAACATGCGTGATTATACCTATCGAAATTGAAAAGTTTATCATTTAATATCTACGTGCTCCAAGGATAAGCCCATTCAAAAATGACGCATGTACTTATTTGTTTTACACCCATACATGAATATTAACTAAGGTATGCAACATTGGCCATATAAACGGCTTTGAGTGCAAACGTATATTTGCTTATAAGATAAATGTCCATCTTTGGAGGTAGTGTAAATATATATTTTAAATATATGCATATTTTTATATTGCCTTAATGTTTAATTTTGATCGTGTAAACGTATAGCTCTTATTAACACGTAGTCAAATATATGTTTACCGTTCGCTAATTGTCAATGAAGCAAGGTGAGGAAGAACCCTTTCATGTGACAAGTGTGAAATTGACACGCCCGTGCAGCACGAGCTATTACAGCGTCACCGACACGTTAACTATTGAAATCTACATGCGTCTTGCCTGCTTGCCTGACACTGACAAGGCAAGTGATGAAACATGTAGACGGTGTTTGTCTCCGACGAACGTGCAATGTCTTACTGACAAAATGGAAATTAACTTTTAAAACTGATAACTGGTCGGTTATACATATCACTAAGTTGCATATGTACGCATGTTAATTTTACTAATCCTTATTGATGTTTATTTACAGAGAGTGTATACGTTAACACATATGCAATTTTGGGACTTTTACAGAAGCCTTTTCAATGCCGTGGATTACTTTGAACAAATAATACTACTTTACATATTAAATTCAATAATTCATATTATGGAAATAGATATGATCAATAATGCCTAAATTCTCTTCATATTTTGCACGTATATAGTTTCAAATGAACACAAGTATCTTTCGACTGAAATATAAAAAATAATCAGCTTTATTTTTTATATTTAAGTCGAAAGATACACTGTTGATTTCAACGTGTTTAGATTTGTTGACATAAGTTTTCAAAAATGAACAGATAGGCAATTGCATTTTCTGCCATAATACAAAAAACTAATAAAAGATGCATCCGTACCTGCAGCTCATACCATGGCGATAGACAATAGGCACGTAGGTAGTGCGGTCACCTTTCAATCACAGTGGCATAGGTTCTATTCTCCACATAGGTCCAAGAAGTGATCTCCGTTAATGGTGCCTCTTGGTCTATGGTTGGAACATGGCTAAAGATTGAATTCGCTGTCTCGGCAACACCTGGTTGTCGTGTCTGTCAGACAGAGCGAGATAGGGAGGGCGACTGAGGCAGACTGAGAGGGACATTGTGACGTGGTGGTGTGCCAAGGCGACCAACAGATGTCTGTTTGCAGCTTGTTGCATGCTCAAGGCAAATATTGGCACCTTTTTGTCCGTTCTTGGCTCTTTCCCTCTCGTGATAGTCCCGCTACACGCAGTGACATGTAAAGCGAATGAACGGGGTTTAAACAGTATTTCAGTTTAATCGCGACGTGAGCTTAATGTGGACGGAAGGCGATGCAGGTCAGACGCTTTTCATTCAAATGAAAACCAAGATACGGTACTGAAACACATAGATTCCTGATGAGAACGCATTTGGGATTCGAACCCAAGAATAGCAGATCCTGTCACGACTGTAGAACGTAACTCTGCACACTTCATTCAATAGGCTACTTTGGCCCTCAACGAGGGAGTTGGGATTCAGTAGTGTAATAGATATGATACTCAAAAGAAGTAAAGCCCCCACCAAACACCCCCCCCCCCCCCCCCCCATATCACTACAGTTAATAGGTCATGCCATGATTCTTTCATATTACTACAGTTAATAGGTCATGCAATGATTCTTTCATATTACTACAGTTAAAAGGTTATGCCATGATTCTTTCATATTACTACAGTTAATAGGTCATGCCATATTTCTGTCATATTACATGTTAATATGTTATGCCATGATTACTACAGTTAATATGTCATGCCATGATTACTACAGTTCATATGTCATGCCATGATTCTTTCATATTACTGCAGTTACACGCCATGCCATGATCTCTACGGTTCATATGTCGTGCCATGATTCTAATGTTACAACAGTTAATATGTCATGCCATGATTCTTTCATAATACTAGTTAATATGTCATGCCATGATTACTACAGTTATATGCCATGCCACGATTCTTCATATTACTATAGTTCATATGTCATGCCATTTTTACTATAGTTATATGCAATGCCATGATTCTTTGATATTACTACAGTTAATATGTCATGCCATGATTACTACAGTTCATATGTCATGCCATGATCACTACAGTTTATAAAGGGCGGTCGGGTAGCCTAGTGGTTGAAGCGTTCGCGCGTCACGCCAAGACCCGGGCCAAGACCAAGTGTGAAGTCCATTTCTGGTGTCCCCCGCCGTGATATTGCTGGAATATTGCTAAAAGCGGCGTAAAACCAAACTCACTCACTCACTCACTCACTCACTCACTCACTACAGGTTATATGCCATGCCATGATTGCTACAGTTAATATGTCGTGCCATGACTCTTTCATATTACTACAGTTAATATGTCGTGCCATGACTCTTTCATATTACTACAGTTAATATGTCGTGCCATGATTACTACAGTTAATATGTCGTGTTATGATTCTTTCATATTACTACAGTTAATATATCATGCCATGATTACTACAGTTAATATGTCATGCCATGATTGCTACAGTTATATGTCATGTCATGATTCTTTCATGTTATTACAGTTAATGTGTCATGTCATAGCAGATTAACTGTAGTAATACGAAAGACTCGGGTGGTCCCTAACTTCTTTTGCGTAGTATATGTCACGGCGTCTCGACTTAATTGGGGATGAAAGTGATACGGTCACATCAACTTGCCAATTTGATCAAACAAACCCACGAGAACGGGTAGTGCCGACAAACCAAAGGTTGTCATCTAGTCGAATCTGGGATTCGAACCAAGGATCCTGGTGTGGCTAAGGAACGGAAATCTGCCCATCGGCTGATTAATTATAATACATTAGATTAATAGAGGGTAAGTTGTGTAAGGCGCTGTGCAGAGTTGCGTCCCTTAGACGTGCCAGAAACCTCTGTGCGTATGGTCGAATTTCAGATTAATCCTGATTAGGTTTCTTGGATTGCCAGCATCAAACCTGTGATCGTGGTAAACGTCTTAGAAATCTTAGAGCTTGAGACGTTGTATTATAACTTCAAATATACCTGAGGGCGGTGGGGTAGCCTTGTGGTTAAACGTTCACTCGTCACGCCGAAGACCCGGGTTCGATTCCCGACATGGGTACAATGTGTGAAGCCCATTTCTGGTGTCCCCTGCAGTGATATTGCTGGAATATTGCTAAAAGCGGCGCAAAACCATACTCACTCAAATATACCTGAATGACTTTTCAAAGTGGCCATTCTCACCCATTATTTGATTTGTTAATATGGAAATTCCAATGGAAACGATTTGTTTTGTTTTCAAGTTGTCTTGAAATTGATATAGTAGAGACGGATTTTGAAGAATGTAGAGTGGAAACAAATCACACAGCCATTTCTTTATACTGGCCTTCATCACAAACAGGGGTCACGGGTGGCCCAGTCGTCTAAGGCGCCGCGATTCGCTGTGCAGAGTTGCGTCCCTTGGGCACGCCAGAAACCTATGATTGTGAGTTCGAATCCCGGTTCGCCCCAATTATATTTCTAGGTTTGTCAGCACCATACCCGTGCTAGTGGGTTTCACCGAAGTGGTAAAAGTCTGAGACCTGCATCACTTCGGGCTTTCCTCCCACATTAAGCTGACACGCCGTGATATGACTGGAATACTGTTAAAAGCGGCGTTAAACCCTACTCACTCATTCACTCATCACAAACACAGAAAACACCTCTCTTGTTTGAAGCTTTGAAAATAAATGTGGATCTTTTTTTCTGGATGCCAGCCGTGTTCAAATAGTTTCGTTTCGTGCCCAGAAACGATATTTCTGAATTGACGTACAGGAGATCAATCCTCCATCCGTGGCGGTTCAGGAATACAGGCACGATATTAAGTCTCACATCGATGTTTTCCGTGTACAGGTCGATACGTTTCTTCACGCTGGTGGGAATGTCTTTGGTTTGTGTGACAAAAACTCGTTACAAAGAGAACGTGGAAAGTTTGCCACGGTGGGCGAGAAAGGGGGAGGGAGGATTTTTGTTTGGTCTTTGTTGTAACGTGGTTGACGCGACGTTCAACCCGTGCGTGTGTGTGTGTGTGTGCGTGCGTGTGTGTGTGTGTGTGTGTGTTGTGGGAGGAGGGGGGTGGGGGGTGGGGGGGGGGGGGGGGGGGGTGGGGTTCTCAGGGTAATGGCCGAGTTAAACCCAACCCACTCACTTTTCGCATCATATGCTTTTCTGGAGGAACATACAGTGTTCTTCTTCATCAGGGGCGGTCGGGTAGCCCAGTGGTTAAAGCGTTCGCTCGTCACGCCGAACACCCGGGTTCGATTCCCGACATGGGTACAATATGTGAAGCCCATTTCTGGTGTCCCCCGCCGTGATATTGCTGGAATATTGCTAAAAGCGGCGTAAAACCATACTCACTCGCTCTTCTTTAACAGGTGTCATTAGGTTCGCCAACTTTTATCGAAGGGAGATCAATGTTTTACGTCGATATTTTCAAAACATACATGGAAGTTCTGAATATATTAATATTAATTAATTAGAAGTAGTGCTTCACAAGTTTCCAGGTGTCCAGTTCATACGGCAGAGGCATGACAAGCACAGATACAGTAGTGGCTCGTGGTTATGAGTACAGGTGAAGTTTAGCGACGCCGGCTGCGGAGAGTAGTTGGATGGGTGACTGCGTTCAACAGCTTCGCTCCAGAGAGTCCCTGGGGCTTCGGTCCTGCCTCGGACTGAAGCACATGTAGAACATGTGATGTCTCCTTGGGCAAATGACCATGTTTAAAATATGCCTCTGGTCACCCAGCAGTGAATGGGTACCCGGTAGGGTGAGGTGGTGATGTGACTGTTAACCCTCTAGCGCCTCACAGACAGATTGGGTAGTGTACTCCCCGGGGAGCTGAGAATGAAAATCGACCGGCGTAACAATAATGTAAGCGCCCGTGAGCAGCCAAGCTGGAGCTCGGCATGACATAAATAGATTATTAATAAGAAGTATAGAGACATTATCATATGACGCTAACGTCCAAAGACAAAAACGTCAAATGTGCCCTCACTATTACGTATTTGAAGGGCTAAACTTTCCTAAAGTTGATCCGACCAAGTTGTTTTGTTGGTGCGCATATTGATGAAGGGGAAATAACTCGTGTCGTCTTATCTGCCGCCATGTCTGGAAAAGAAACTAATCTTTTCATGGGGGATTTCGTCTTTGAAACAAGCGTTAATGAAATAAAACGTTATAATTACATGCTGTGCTGGTTGTAGGGCACTGTGTGCAATGTTTTATGGCTTTGCCACGGCTGGTTTATCGACACGGTATGTTGGCTGGCTACGGTCTTTGTCTCTGGTCCTGCGCGCTATCCGTGAAATGAGAAATTGTCGCTTATTAATAAGCGTGTCGAAATAGCGCTGGATAGCAATCATTTATCAAGCGTGTGTTCTTAGACGAGCTAGATTCTGTTTGAGAAACCAAATTGGTCTGGCATATTTAGTTGCTGAAATGGAGCATAGGCCATTGTTTTGTTTTTCTGTTTGTGGTTGTTTAACGTTGCACTCAGCAATATTCCAGCTGTATGACGGCGGTCTGTAAATACTTGAGTCGTGGCCAGACAATCCAGTGATTGATATCATGAGCCACGACCCACAATGTCGGGGTTTGATGACAGATTACCAACTTTTTCTCGAAATCTGATTCATTTAGTCTCTTCGTAAGACAAGCATCGCTAGGTTGCCGGGGAAACGAATCCAAACCCTTTCATAGCCCTTTCAATTGAAATTAAAACGTTCGAAGTACAACATATTTATCTTCATATCTAACAGTTTTTAATTTTTCTACGCGACATATTCAACGCATCGTCATCACTATAGTTTTTGCACCCGTGAAGATCCGGAGTAGAATAGGTCTGCAGCAACCCATGCTTGTCGTAAAAGGGGAATATTCTTGTCGTAAGAGGTGACTAACGGGACTGGGTGGTCAGGCTCGCTGACTTGGTTGATGCATGTCATCGTATTCCAATTGCGTGGACAAGATGCTCATGATGTCAAACACTGGATTGTCTGGTGCAGACTCGATTATTTACAGACCGCCGTCATATAGCTGGAATATTGCTG